CTGTAGGGACAGGACACAGGGAATGGCTTCCCCATGCCAGAGGGCAGGGATGGATGGGATATTGGGAAGGAATTGCTGGCTGGGAGGGTGGGGAGGGACTGGAATGGATTTCCCAGAGCATCTGTGGCTGGATCTCTGGAAGTGTCCAAGGCAGGTTGGAGCAAGCTGGGCTAGTGGAAGGTGTCCCTGGGAGCAGAGCCCAGCTCCCCCCGGCTCCCCCCTCCTGGCAGGGACTTGCAGAGCCAGAAGGTCCCCCCTGAGCCTCCTTTGCTCCAGGATGAGCCCCCCCAGCTCCCTCAGCCCCTCCTGCTGCTCCAGACCCTTCCCAACTCCCTTCCCTTCCCTGCACACGCTCCAGCCCCTCCAGGTCTCTCCTGTCTGGGGGCCCAGAACTGCCCTCAGGATTCCGGGGGGGCCTCCTCAGTTCCCATCACTGGACCTGTGCCCACCATATTCCCGGGATATCTCAACCCACATCTCCCTCCCACACCCATGAATGGGTCCCTTCCCCTGAGCAGTGTCTTCCCTGGCTGGTCCCTGTTTTCTCCTGGGGATCCCCTGCTCTCACTCCTTAATTACTTTAAGCATTTGTTTGGCTTCGCACTTCTCCAAGAATTAGCAGGCTGGAATCACTGAAGTCCTGGATTAGTGGTTACAGTAGATTTAGGGAACAAGTTCCTGGCTGCAGTTCCTCAGAAACACCCAGTTTGGACCTTTCTCAGTCTTTTGGGGCCCAAGATAACGGGATAGATTTGTCAGTTGAGTTTGGTGTGTTAATAACAGGGACTGCAGGATGGTTTGAAGCCTTTTCTGTCACTTTTATCTTTCCCTAAAGATAAAATAGGTGTTATTGTAAAATAAACGTTATTTCATAATATAACAAATATTTTATAAGAAATATTTATTATTTTATAGTAAATAAATATAATTTATAAAAAATAAAATAGAAGACCCAGCTATAATGTTCACATCTATTGGTCATTCCTCTCACTGGCAAACCCTCTTGACCACAATCTTCACTAATCCTCTTTTTTTATATTGGTGTCTTATAGACAAAACCCAGAGAGTTTTAGCAAAGCCACAGAACCTCTTCCAACCTTCTCATCTCATTTCAAAATTTAGTTAACAGCAGTGCTCTAAAATGAATATTTGTAGGGTTTTTTTAATTTCTATCTCAAGCCATATTTGTAATTCGAATAGTTATTTTTGCTGTATGTGGAGGTGTTCTCCCTCTCTAGGGTGAGGGTTGGGTGGTTGGAGGTTGGTCCTGGTGATGTGGGGCCATGAGGACCATGCAGGACACGTGAAGGGGCTCAGGGCAGTCCTGGGAATGCTGGGATGGTCCTGGATGTGCAGCAGGACAGCAGCCCTTCATCCATGCTTTGTTCAGGAGGAAGCTGGTCAGGGACACTTCCACCCCTTTCTTCTCCTCGTTGTATCAATGGTGTATCCAGACATGTGTGTTCCCATGGCCAGCAGTGGCATTTCTGCCATTACTTAAATTTTCAGTGCTTTCCTGCCCCTCTCCTCTGTGGGAATCCCATCTGGGATGAGGCTCTTCCTGTTGGTAACACCAGCCTGATTTTGGGTATCTTGAGGGGCAGGTGGCCACAGAAGGATCCTTGGGTTCATCTGTTCCCTTCTCAAGACATTTTTGCTGCTTTACTTCCAAATCTGTTCCATAACAAAAATGGGGAAGGGCTTTGATTGGAAGCTGTGTGAGGACACTGAGGGCACTTGGAGTGTTCAGCTGGAGCAGAGCGGACTGAGGGGAGACCTCAGTGCAGTTCCAATTCCTGGGCAGGGGCAGAGGAGGGGCAGGGACTGAGCTCTGCTCTGGGGGGACCAGGGACAGCACCCAGGGAAGGACTGGAGCTGTGTCAGGGCAGGGTCAGGTTGGATCTCAGGCAAAGGTTCTTCCCCCAGAGGCTGGTTGGGCACTACCCAGGCTCCCCAGGGCAGTGGGCACAGCCCCAAGGCTGCCAGAGCTCCAGGAACTTTTGGCTGATCTTCTGGGTCACAGGGGGTGACCCTTGGGGTGTGCTGTGCAGGGCCAGGAGTTGGACCTCATTATCCTTGTGGTTCCCTTCCACCTCAGCATATTCTGGGATTCTGTGATAATTTTCCCCCCTGTTCCCCCCACAGAGCAGCTCCCCGTGACTGGGTGGGCAGGAGCACCTCGTTGGGTGGGAGCTGCTGATCTGGCTCCCGTTCAGTTTGAGGTCACACTCACTCAGACAGGGCTCGGCGGGCACGTCCCGCTGGCCCCCACTGGTGCCCATGAGGGGTGGGCTCCCCGTGGTCCTCACCCTTGTGTCTCTCCGTGCCCGCAGAGTGTCCCCTGACGGCGGCGGCGCAGCTGGAGCTCAGCTCCGAGATGATCAAGGCCCTGCGGAACGGGGGAGCCCACCTGGATTTCCGGACGCGGGAGGGGATGACGGCCCTGCACAAGGCCGTGCGCTGCCGCAACCACGCCGCGCTGCTGGTGAGTGGGGCGGGGGGGCTCTCCCCGGGCTCTGCCCTCCTCTGCATCTCTTTCCCCACATGGGGTGGGGCGCACCAGTTCTGGTTCCATTGCCACCCGAGGAACCGACGGCTGAGGTGGATAGGGAGGGGGAACTCCAGCACCAGGGGTTTCTTCAGGTCCCGAGCCTGGAGGGGAGAGGTGCTCTCCCCCCGACCCACCCACGCGGTCCCATGGCAGCCACAGAGACAGCACACAGGCCGTGGAGAGGAGGCAAGAGAGAGTTTATTGTTGGGGGGGTTACATTTATAGGGTTAGGAGGATTCACAGAGGAACCAATTACCAGTTGCAGGAAGGGGTTAACAACCAATAGGAAGGGGTTAAAAAGATCCAATGAGAAGACCTCAGGACATCTTCCCAGGACACTCCTGCATGAGAGATAAGAGTCCCTCACAGAAGGTGTCGGGAAGAAGGAGCAGTGACTTCGCAGAAATACAAAAAGCCATTTTGAAACATGTTTAAACCACAGTTTCTCATATACTGCAGATCTACTGCCACACCCTCCCCTCCCTGCACCCCCCAGAGCCACCCCTGGCTGCCCCTCCTGGCACAGCATCTCCGGTGTTGCCCATGGGGTACCTCGTGGGCACGGGGGGGTGGCCGGAGCATCCCTGGCTGGTCTTCCCTTCCTGGTGGGCAGGTTTTTCCTCCTGGAGCTGCAGGGCGAGGTGGGCTCTTCTCTTCCAGACACTGCTGGACCTGGGAGCGTCCCCGGACTACAAGGACAGCCGGGGGCTGACGCCCCTGTACCACAGTGCCATGGTGGGGGGGGACCCGTACTGCTGCGAGCTCCTGCTGCACGACTACGCCCGGCTCGGCTGCGTGGACGAGAACGGCTGGCAGGAGATCCACCAGGTGGGCTGGGATCCGGTGGGAGATGGGGTGGGATCCGCCCGGGGCACTGCTGTCCTGGGGCTGATGGACGGGGAACTCCCATCCCCTGGGGTGCCACGGGCTGGGGAGGCACTGCTTGGTGGAGGCAGAGAGGGCTGGATGTGCTGTGCCAGCTCTGGCTCCATCCCAGGTTGGTGTTCTGGCTGTTTTCTTCTGGCCTCGGTCAGGAGCATCTGGGATCCTCCCCAGGAGTGTCTGGGATCCTCCCCAGGAGTGTCTGGGATCCTCCCCAGGAGTGTCTGGGATCCTCCCCAGGAGTGTCTGGGATCCTCCCCAGATGATGCCTGGCTCAAAGGATAGTGCTTTCAGATCCTGCTTCAGCACCTGAGGCAGCCTGGTTCCAAACCCAGCTCTGCCTGTCCCTGTTCTACACATCGACAAGTGGCTTTGGCAGAGGGAAGGCACGGATTGGGGGTTAGGAGACCTGAGCCAGCTTTGTGCTTCTCCCTTTGGGTGGAGGGGGATGAGCCCATGTTGGAGGGCAGGTTGTCTTTGGGCCTGTGGCCTCCCAAACCACCCCCTCCAAGAGGGATGAGTCCTGGCACAGCTACAGGTGAGAATGAAAAACAGGAGGTGTTTGTGATGTCCCTGCTGCCTCCGTCCTCCTTGGCTGATCTTTGGGAGCTGCTGGGCCTGGGATGGACCAGAGGGAGAGGAAAATGCACCAGTTAACCAGAGATGTGGGGCCTTGTCCTCTGCTTGGCCTGGGTGTGCTCGGGGCTTCCTCTCACCTGCAGTCACACTGAGACAGCCACCAGTCTGGAGGAGGCTCTGGGACCAGCACGATGCTGATCCAGGTTTTCCCGTTGATCCAGAGGTGATTTATCCCATGAGTGCCCAGGTGTGTGGAGCTGTGAGGAGCAGCAGTGTGTCCATGTTTACAGTCTGGGTTACAGCTCCAGCCTGGCTGCACTTCTGGAGCGTGGCTGGATCCAGCAGAGGATGTTCTGGGATTTATTTATCACCTTCCTGCCGCTCCCTGATCCTCCTCTGTTCCCTTTTTCCCACCCTGGCTGTGGGGCAGGCCTGTCGCTACGGCCACGTCCAGCACCTGGAGCACCTCCTGTTCTACGGGGCCGACATGACTGCCCAGAACGCCTCAGGAAACACCGCCCTGCACATCTGTGCCCTCTACAACCAGGTACGGGGGCACCAGGGAGGGCGGGGGGGCACCACCCTGGCTGAGGCAGCGACAACACCACCAGAGCTGGGGCCCCTCTCAGCGCTCCTGCTGCTCCCAGATCCACAGGGCTCCTCTGAGTGCAGTCCAAGAAGCTATTTCTGTTTGTAGCACCAGCCTGATTTGGGATTTCTCAAGAGTCAAGTGGCCGTGGTTTAATCTGTTCCGTTCCCAAGATGTTTTGCTGCTTTGCTTCCAAACCTGCTCTGTAATTTTCCCTCCAGTTCTTTTTCCTGCTTCGCAGCAGGTCCCTGGAACTGGCTGGGAGGGAGAAGTTTGCTGGGTGGGGGCTTCTAATTTGGCCATGGAGCTCACACTCAATTTGAGGTGGGCACATCCTGTGGCTTCCAGCCCTCTCCAGGGCAGGCAGGTGGCCTGGGGTCCTGTCCTGCCCACAAATAGCCCTCAATTCTTCCTGCTAATCTCAGAATTCTGGAGGAGACCGTGCAGGCAGCACAGGGCTCCATTTCTGTCTCATTTTCTGTGTGGTCACTCACTCAGCTCAGGGAAGTCGAGGCTGGTGGAAGAGCCCCCTCTGATCTCACGCCCCCGCTGCTCTCAGAGCGGGGCAGGGCAGGATCTGAGCATTTCTCCTGGAGGGTTTGCTCCTTCCTAGACAGTTTTATCCATTGTGTTATGTGAGCTTTTATTATAAAGGGAATTTCCAGTTTCTGAGGTGTCCATGCTTTAAAAACTGAGGCCTGTCATGGTTTGCCAGTGGTAGGTGGGGGACGGTTTGTGGCGTGGTGGGTTCACTCTGCACGTCATGGGCTCTTGGACCCACGTCCCTGCCCACGGAGGTGGGAGGGAGAGGGGCATTGAAGGGTTCAGGGGCTCATAAACACTCTGAATTAACACCATGGAGAAGCACAGAGCGTTCCAGACCAACAAGAAGCTTTAGGCAACAGCAGTACCTGGGAACGTGTGGTGGCCACGGCGCCAGTGCCCCCGAGGATGGACTTGTCTAGTGGAAGGTGATCCTGCCCATGGCAGGAGGTTGGAACTGGATGATCTATAAGGCCTTTCCAACCCAAACCATCCTGTAATTCCATGATTCCATGACTGGGGGCTGGGGATGCCCAGTTCACAGGGGGTGATCGTCCCTCCTCGCTCTTGCCAAGGGAGCTTCCCGAGCTCGGTGACCCCCGGGGTTGGCTGGGGTGTTGCCACCACTCTCAAGTGCTAATGGTCTCTTCCCTTTCCCCTTGCCAGGAGAGCTGTGCCCGGGTGCTCCTCTTCCGTGGTGCCAGCAAGGAGATTCGGAACTACAACAGCCAGACGGCGTTCCAGGTGAGCGGGGGGTGCTGGGCCACGGCCTCCCGTGGACCTGCCCCAACCAGGGCAGCTCTCAAACCTGGCTGGGGCTTTGCCTTCTGGGACAAACCCTCTGGCTCGGAATGTCTGTCCTGGCCCCAGCTGAATGGCTGGAGCAGGAGGGAGGAGGAGAGCACGTGGTACCTGCGGGAAGGGCTGGGAAGGTGGTGCCATGTGGGATGGTGGGACACTGAGCTTGGATCGTTTGGCCACGTGTCGTGGAGGTGGAAAAGAGAAGTTGTTGCTGGCTGTAGGAATGTAAATGTTAGAGAAGGAGGAGAATCCTTGGAGCAGGAGCAGAGTCCTTAGAGCAGGAGCAGAATCCTTGGAGCAGGAGAAGAATCCTTAGAGCAGGAGCAGAATCCTTGGAGCAGGAGCAGAATCCTTAGAGCAGGAGCAGAATCCTTGGAGCAGGAGAAGAATCCTTAGAGCAGGAGCAGAATCCTTGGAGCAGGAGCAGAGTCCCTGGAGGAGGAGCAGAGTCCTTAGAGCAGGAGCAGAATCCTTGGAGCAGGAGCAGAATCCTTGGAGCAGGAGCAGAATCCTTAGAGCAGGAGAAGAATCCTTGGAGGAGGAGCAGAATCCTTAGAGCAGGAGCAGAATCCTTAGAGCAGGAGCAGAGTCCCTGGAGGAGGAGCAGAATCCTTAGAGCAGGAGCAGAGTCCCTGGAGGAGGAGCAGATTCCTCAGAAATAAAGGACGGTGTTGCCACAAAAATGAGCACACCTGAATTTCTGAAGTCAAACATGAGGGCAGAGGAGCTCTAGTGACACTCTGGAATGGCTTTCTGGGAAATCTGCTGTGTAACACAGGTGGCAAAGGGAAACATCAAGTCCAGTGCCAACCCCGGTGTTTTCTCATGTCCTGTCTTCTCTTGGCCATGGCAATGGGGTGGGGTTGGGGCAGGGCAGAGAGAGCCAATACCCACAGAAATCATGGAAATGCCTCTGCTGCTGCCAGGCCCCTTGGCCACTGCCCTGCACACACCTCTGTTAATTTAATTGCTGTTGTTAATGAGATACCTTGGTGTCAGTGGCCTGAGATGACTTAAGATAGCAGTGAGTAATTTAGAGGGTTTAGGGCCTGTAATCTCCTTGGCTGTGTCCCCAGGGCAAACCAGCTCGTTGCAGGGGTGATGTGCCACCTCCTGCTGTCTGGAGAACCTCCTGCTGCTGGTGGCCTCACCTCTTTGGGCTGCTCCGGGTTTCAGGGGAGGCAGGAGCAGGGCCAGAGTTTTCCTAGAGTATCTTCCCAACTTCTGGCAGTCTGCACCTCTGTTTTCCTGAGCCAGGTTGGTACCTACATACCAACCTACATCACTCTTCCATTGCTCTGAGCTGGTTTTTCATCCATCAGTGCAGGTGCAGCCACTCCCAAAGCTCCCCAGCCCCTTCCAAATACGTCCTTCTCACAGAAGGATGGAGACACCATTTTTCGGGTGGGATATTCCATCCTCAAAATGCACTGGATGGGAAGAATCACAGACTGGTTGGGGTTGGAAAGGACCTCTGGAGATCTTCTAGATCTTCCAGTCCAACCTAAAGCAGGTTCACCTGCACAGGGCTGCGTCCAGGTGGGTCAAAAGAAGTTGGTTTGGGTTTCTTTTCCCTTCTGCCAACTGCCTGGATTGTAGCTGGATCATTATCATGGAATTCTTTGGGTTGGAAGGGACCTCAAAGCCGTCTGTCTGCCCTCCCCATGCCCTCTGAGGGAGCTGCTGGTTCTCCTGCCTTGTATCAAAGAGCCTGGGCCATCTGTGCCACTCCTGCCTCTCAGCAGGGCCTGCCTGGTGGTGATCTGCTGCCAGAACAGGAATTCTGTTCCCCACGTCAGGAGTTCCCTGTAAACAGCAGGAGGATCCCAAACTGCTGCTGTTCAGGGGCTCTTCCAAATGGTTCATTCCTGCTCCCCACCCTCTTTTCTCTCCCCATCAATCCCAGCTGCTCCAGGTGGTTGGTGCAAGCTGGGGGTAAGACCCTCCCTCAGCTTTGGTTTCTCATCACTTGGCTCCTCTCAAGTCCTGCTTCCCTTTTTCTCCTTGGTTTTCTCATGTCTTAAGGACATAAGAAGTGTTTTCTTCCTCAGGGACACGTGGGATGGGGTTAATCCCATCTCTGATGGGGTCACGTGCTGGCAACCCCACACTTGGAACCTCTGGGTCATTTTTTCCCCCCTTTTATTTAATAAAAGTTGTCTCTAGCTCCGTGTAAAAAGTGGGACAAGGCCAGTTCCTCATGGTCAGGTCTCCACCTGCCTTGCACTGTGTTTTCCAGCCTGTTTGAGGTACCAGCAGTTTCCTGCTGAGCATCATCCAGGTTTTATCTTGGTCACAGTGCTGAATTCCCAGTTTTCTTTCCCAAACCTCCCGTTTCTGACATGGAGCCTGAACTTTGTGTTTTCACTGTCAAGATAAAACCCTTAAGGCTGGAAAAGGCCTTTAATGTAGTCGAGTCCAACCCTCAGCTCAGCACCACCACCACATTCAGCCCTAAACCACGTCCTCCAGTGCCACGTCCACACGTTTGTGGGACACTCCCAGGGGTGGGGGCTCCGCCACTCCTCTGGGAAGGCGGATCTTGCTTGTCTGGAAAAGTTTTTGGAGGTTCCTTCCGCTGCCTCTGTGCATTCCTGGAGGGTCTGTGGGTCACCCACAGTGGCCGTAGGGCAGATTTTAGAATTGTGGAATGGTTTGGGTCGGGAAGGGACCTTAAAGACCATCCAGTTATGGGATGGAACCTTCTCCCCTGGGGGTTTACACAGGTCCTGTCACTTGTCCAAAATCAAATGTGGCTTTTTCTTCGTCTCCTCGGCAGCATTTGTGGTGTCTTGTGGCATTTACTTACCCAAGGTGGGCACAGGGAAATAGAAATACATAAAAATATGTTAAAATATAGAAATATAGAAATATATACAGACATATGAATATAAATACAGATATAGGTATAAATATGAACATGTGAGCTTCTTATTTTTGAGGGGGTTTATTGATTTTCCAGCCAATGGAGATGTTTATGAGGACCTATCAAAATGTAAACCCAGCGCTGGAAGTCTTAAATACCAACAGATAATTCAGTGGGATACATTTGTTAAAAAAAAAAAAACAAACCCAAACCTTTATAATTCTTTCTCCTATTGATCTAAGGGTTTGTTTGTTTATGTGAGCACGTGACCCAGGTATTGAGCTGAGACCTGAGGTCGTGATTTCTCCCCTGCCTGATCCGTGTGCCAGAGGAGCCGTGGGATCACTGCTGTTGGCTCATCCCAAACACGCCTGGGGGAGCTTTGAGGAGAGCAGACAAGGCTCTTAATGAGCAGTAAATGTCAGTTTTGTACAAGTTCCTTTGTCCTCGTGACACTCCTGCGTGAACTTTTCCATTCCTACACACGCAGGATTATCAGATGCAGGATTTAAAAATAGTGCCTTCGAATTCCTTTTAGTTTCACTGAAATTTAACAGTCAGAGCTGCTGCTTTTCTGTCAGAAAGTTGTGTGTACTTTTAATTGCTGCATTTTTGTGGGCCTTCCCCCCCCCAGGCTAAATCCATCCAGACAGGTTTTTGTGGTGGATGGTTTTTTTTGTGGATATATTGGGGTAGTAATGGTGATATAAGTAAACAAGGTTTCTTAGTTCAGGCTTTGCTGCTGTAGAGCTGCTCTGGTTGTGGTGCCCTTGGTCACCTGTGCTGGTAAAAGTGACCCTGGAATCCCGGGGGCAGTTCTGGGCCCTCAGACAGGAGAGACCTGGAGGGGCTGGAGCGTGTGCAGGGAAGGGAAGGGAGCTGGGAAGGGTCTGGAGCAGCAGGAGGGGCTGAGGGAGCTGGGGGGGCTCATCCTGGAGCAAAGGAGGCTCAGGGGGGACCTTCTGGCTCTGCAAGTCCCTGCCAGGAGGGGGGAGCGGGGGGGGGCCGTTCGGGCTCGGCAAGCCCCTGCGGGGGGGGGGGGGCCGGGGGGGGTCGGGCTCTGCTGC